ATTAGGATGATCAAAACGAAATGAATAAAAAGAACTCACTGACTCTTTTAAGCCATCATCACTTCACTCGTTTCCGTTAGTTCTGTCTTAAAATATTTGTAGTTTTTACATACTATGTTCCTTGTTCGCAATGTTTGAAAGTATTCGGATGGAGAATTCTTCATCGACGCAGTCTTCAAATTGTTTACTCTATGCCGAATCATTGTGTACATATGTACAACTAACTCGACATTCCAAATTGTACTAGGTCACATTTCACACCCATACAGCTTAGAACGCATTGTCGCAATTATCGCAAACCACAATAAATATTTGCTCATTGAGTTCGATTTTAGTTTCAAGTTGTGTATTACTAAGCATTTTGATCAGAGGTGATTTGTTCTATACTTGATTTTTAAATAGGGCTACTGTTTTCCAGAGGCTACGTTGTTCAACAATTCGTTTGCAAGTGTAACGTTCTGCAGAAATACTGTCGCGTATAAAAATAAATGGAAAAGCATGTGCTTTAATTTAGGGTGAATTCAGAGAAATGTTATGGCCTTTGTCCTTAGTTCAATAGTAGCAGGTAATTTTGTTACCGAAATGGTTCAGGTTCTTTTGTCATGCATATTTTTGGTAATATCCTTTTGTTGTCTGGTGACTTTCTGTCAGGTAGCTACCGATGTTCTTATTGCTTCTACGTTTTACCGTGACTCGTTAAACCGATATTTTTGTGCGGGAGCATTAGCAGGATAATTTTCTGCGTATGGTCTGAATTATTAGACTACTTCGAAGTTTGAGTTTAATGTATACGCGAAGCATTGCAAGTAGTTACGTGGAAGGGGAAAGTTTGAAGAATGAGTAGCCGTCATCTTTTTGCCTTTTTCCGAACGTTCCTGCTTCGGTGATACCGTTCAATTGCTGTTCGCAGCGGTGTTTCCCTGCTATTCTCTCTGGAAACACGTCTTCCAGTGTACGACATAGCGAAGCAGAGCTTTAACTGAAGAAATGACTCTTATTATACTCGCATCTCTCAATGCTGTTTTAGGCCTTTAAGATTTAAGTGACGTTGGTTGAAACATTTTGTATCTTGTTCCGCGTTCGAAACGTATGAATAGAGCACATTGACGAGTGCACTGTCTTTGTAAAATCTGGAATCGGGTCCGCGACAATCCTGCGTCTGACGGTGGTAACCCACCTAAGGAAAAGCCAGGTTTAATGTAATTGTTTCGATCTTCTTTGGGACGGCGAGACTTATTGGTAGTGAATTTTGGGCTAGAGTTTAGCGGTGGCGAACATTGCATAATGCAGATCCATGTCATCCAGTGACAGTCGAGCACGCGAATTCGAATGAAGGAAATTAATGAAAAGAAAATATTAAAATTCGTAATAGCAGAACAAACCAGCAGCAAAATTGGTAGACGGCTAGAGACATGCACGATTAACAAAGCTTGGTCACCGCTGCTGCACTTATAACGTTCCCGGTCCTAACCTTGTATTGTTTTCCCATGTGCTGTATCTGACGACATATATTTGCCGTTGCACCACCTGTCACAGTTGCATTCGTCGCGCTTTTAATCTCTAGCCACGAACCCGATTCCAATAAGACTCGTCATCCCAACGGGTAGACAATTGCACCACGCTTGGTCTTTTCTGCTCTTGCTTTACCACCGGAAGATGCAAGATCATTGCGGATTTTGCCCCGAAAAGAGCTGTAGTCGCCTCACCCGTCAATCTTTTTTAATTTGTTTTATCCATAAATTAAATATATACATGAAACGTATTAAATCGAAAACGTAACTCTGTTTTGGGATAGACTCCACAAATGGGAGCTTGCGAAAACGTATTCACTTCATAAAATTCATTACGTCGTTCGAACCAGTGCCACGTTCCGCTTAAAACATTTTCTTAAGACGCACCATATATTCGATATTTAAAAATTTACCTCATCATCATCTATAACCACTTCTCCTTTCTGGCCGCGGCGACAGTGCTTCCAACGTTCTAGTTCTTGTGCCAGAGTCTGAGTTTCGCCAGAAGACAGTTAAAGTCTGGAACTGGCTCCATATATTGCACCAGGTTAATTTTGCCCGTCTTCTGGGCCTTCTCTTGGTCTGCTGGGCAAGTTGTTTAGTAAGCAAATAGTTGCTTAGCCTTCCTTCCTAGAGGCATTCGCAACACAAATTGCTTCTTTAACTTCTCAGTCTGAAGAAGCAGCGGCTGTATACTAAGTCTTTCGCGGATGTCCGTATTCTGGACCATGTCGAGACACTAAAGTCAGCTACTAGTCTCAGAAAGACCATTTCAGCCATTTATCTCATTTCATTTTTTGTCTGTTTATTGTTAACTGTTGATATCGGATATATACGAGTCAACTTTAAAGTTACTCACTTTCCACCGATGTTGCGGTTGTGCAAGAAGGATTGAATTCATTACACCGGGTTTGATTCATTTAAATATATTTATTTCTTTTAGTTACTTTTCTTTTAGTGTACTTCGGATTTGGGAATGTGCAAATACTGTTGAATCTGGGGTAAGACCCGCAGCGGTCTTTCATCTCAAGATTGCAAGCCACCTTTATGTAGGGTCTATCCTGATTCAGTCGTTATCCCATTTTCTTGGATAACGAGCTTTGTTTTTCTGCCTGGAGCATGGCTTTTCTGGGTGCACTTTTAATTTTTTGGTATTGATTTGGATGTGAAAATTAAATGTTGGTTCTAGTGTCTTCATATCTTTTACGCGATTACTTCCCATGTATATTTTATTATACAAACTACTAATTTTCTGAGCTATAATTGCTTCGTTTTCAAGGTAACTTGACCAGAGGTTGTCAGAATTTTAACCTATTTGATGGTCTCAATGTTTCTTACGGGATTATTCTCCATATAAACTTATTACTTGGGAAGGTACCTGGATGACGAGCCAAGTATGGTTAAAAGTGTTGTTGATATCTATAATAGAAAATAAAAATCTGTAATAGAAAATAAATTATAAATCTGTTTGTGGATCCGTCCTGTAAAAAACATGAAGATATCAAGAGACGGTTTATGTTCTCGTCCGTTGGTGATCATTCTAAAACTGAAAAATGTTTACTAATGGTTTATTTATATTCAGCGCAAGCAAACTGGTAAATCGGATGATTAACCAGTACCGACGTTTATACTCGTCTCTCACGACCTTCTTCATGGTGATTTCCACAGTTCGT